AAAAATCTGATGCGAGGAGCGGCATCGCAGAACTTTTACTTTTTACAACAAATAAACAACAATGGGAACTTGTAAATAAAGTAGTGATTGGGTGCACTTTCAAGAAAAAGAAACACAAACTTTTATTTTTCAAATTTTACAAAGCAGAGATTTTTTAAGAACACAATTCTTTCTAACAAACAACAATACTTAAGTAACATCTGTTTTTTTTATCTTTTAGAACAGCTGTTTTGCCTGGAATTAAAATAATACATTTCACATTGTATTTAAATGTAAAAAAATCAAACATTACGGTTAACAAATTCCCGAACACTTACGATCCTATTTAAAGGATTTGTATATCGGACGAGGGCTCCAGAATACTTCACTCGAAACTTTTGGGTTCGATCACTATTGGAGTCAGTTAATATTTATTTCTCGGCAGCCCCGAAATATAAATTTTGATACTCCTACTCTGGTTAGTACTTCGAAATGAGGTAGCTCAACTTGGTTTCCAAAACTGAAAAAGAGCTCGAATTGGGTTCCGTACCTTTATCAGGTAACCAGGAATTAGTCCTGGAGCCAGGGACCAAAAATGGGAAGGTTTGAATGTTATTATAAATAAAATGAATCTTGTCCGTCATTCCAGAGCCGCTGCTTTCAAGATTGGCGGCTGAGTTAAAGAATATAAGGTCAGTAACTTGAAGATCGAAACGGGAAATTTTTTAATTTTTTTTTTTTTTAACTTGTACGTATTGGTTTAGAAATGTAAAAACAAAATTTCTACCGCGGGCCAACTGGGGAAAACTTTTTAAAGCCAAAAAAAAAACATATTTATTCGATATTTTTTTTTGTTTTTTCATCTGTAACTTCTTAACGATCAGTGTTGCCCAAATTGGTCTTGGTCTTGTTCTTGCATTTTTGACCAAGACCAAGACCATAACATTTTTCAAGACCAAGACCACAAAATTTTTTGCAAGACCAAGACCAAACCCTGCTGGTCTTGCAGGTCTTGCAGTTAAGTCAAACTGAGTCTATTTTCAGATATAGTACGGTGCTTAAACATTTTAATCATCTGATCTAAACAACGTCGTTTTTCTTATGGAATTGTATATTTGAGTATAGCTCTGCAAATAATAATAAAAAATTAATCTTTTTTTTATTCTTCCCCTACCTCGCCTTTTAGGTTATACGGGTGTTTTCGAGGGCCATGGATGAGGGCGGGGGATTAATGCCAGAATTAAAAGAGCCCCAGCGGATACAACAATTATTTTACTGTCTCTGATTCGGTTATCAGGTTGCCGGGCAACGCGCAGTGCTGGGCACAATCGTTGGTCCGCTCGGCCACCCCGCCCCTAGAAATTAATCATTTTCCAGCACCGGAGCAAGATAAGAAAACAAAACAGGAATAAAAATTAAGACTAAATGGTTACTAATACTAGCCCATTTTAGTTACTATAATGAAACTTCTCCTCAAAGAAAGCGGACACTCACAGGGAATCAAAAATTGCCCGCTATAGAAAGATGTTCGTTTTAGAAAAATTGGAAGAAAAACAAGTTAAAAAAAAAAACAATTAGAAAACTTAAAAAGTATTTTAAAATTTATATCCTGAAAATAAAATCGTTTATTCGATCAAAAACATTTTTCTTTTTTAAATTTACTATTGAATAAAATTGAACATAAGAAATGTAAACTTTTTTTTATGTAGAAAAAAATAATAGTAATTAGTAATTTTTATTTGGACTATCGTAACTATTTCCAAATTGTTATGAATAGATAAAATCGTTACAATTATTCCACTTCCTCCTTCAAAATGAAATTGTTTCTCAGACAACTAATTTGTGAGAAAACTTCTTTAATATTCACTCAGAGATCACGAAAATGTATTATCAGCTCAAAGGTTCGCGAGTATAATTGTTCGAAATGATTGTACGAACGCTGGAGGGTTAAGATACAAGCCTGGTGAAATCATCCATGTTCAACGGCATAACTCCAAAAAATTATTACTTTGTCATTTTGAATTGTCATTTCAGTGTTTGGCCCGCTGTTCGCAGTATTCGTTATTTTTTTTAAATATCTAACACCAAGTTTTAATCGAGTGTCTAAATTGCAAATACTGAACTTTCTGATACACTCATTAATTGCAGACCTTTTTCTTTGAAATATGACCGGAACCATGTTGACAGATTATAATCAAATGTGTGTAAATGACAACAAAGGTTAAGACTAAATTCTATTTCAAAACCGGATTACTTGGTGGAGGAGTGAAGTAATTCTTAATTTCTTAAACTAAATATTTCTTTAGTTATGGCTTCCTATTTAACAAAAAACGTGGTTTACTTTTAAAAAAACACCCAACTTGGATATCCTATTTTTCTAGTGGAAATTTGCCCATTGTTTAGAATCTTTTTGTAGCTCTTGATGTCTTCTATCACTCCTTTAAAAATTTCCCTCTACTTGTGGGACACTCTGCTGTTTTAGGTTCAGGAATTATTATATAATTCCCTACCATTATAATAATTATATAATTCTCTAGTGTAGGAGAAATGAAGATTCAAATAGAACAAGCAATTTAGTCTAATGTTCAATTCAAAGAGTAAAGGTTATAGTGAACATGAAAGGTGCCCACCCACTCGAAAGTACATAGTTCGGATCTATTCGTCTCATTAACTCTAAGCGACATCATTAGTTAAATGTTTAACACAGCTTAGAGAAATGCCAAATTCACTAATGAGTAGTTTATTAGAAGACAGCTAAGGAGGAAGAGGAATAAAAAAAAACTCAAGGATGTGGAGAGAGAGGCTATTTAGCGTGAGATGATTACAAGGAGCGAGAGGAGACGGAAATAGCCCGGAGTTGGAACAGGAAATAGAGCTCCTCGGTCTGGTTAATAGCTGACAAGGAGGTTGACAAATAGATACGCCACTCTCTCACACTTCTAATAGACCCATCATCCTTCCAAAGCCTGCGATCTATTTCGGTACAAGCCGTAAACTAGAAGAGTCGCTCTGTAGTCTGTTATCTTTTAATTAGATTTCCATTGAATGTTTTATTCAACAGTTCAATTTCGTTTCAAAAGGATGAATTAAATCTTACTGATTCATAATTGTAATGGCCATCAGGGTGCCCATCCCCCCGCTCCTCCCAAGATATTTTACTCCTCACCTTTTCTGAAAAAATAAAGCAAGCTAAGGTAGAATTGGAAAAATTGCAGATTATATAGAATTCACTTGAAATGAAATAAAATGAAAAAAATAATTTATTCTGGGACTACACTCCCCTAAGAATTATAACACAGTTAAATATTTATGAGTCTTAGTCTGGCTTAGAAGATTACAAAATACAAACTAATTAACTGTTGATTATTATTGCAATTGTGCAGTTGATTTAATTAAACAGTATACAGACGCAAGTAATTTTATATGTTTGCGGAGTTTAAATGTAGAATTGTTTGGTGGAACAGGAGTTGTTTTAATTTATAAAGAATTTGTGGACGAGGATTGACGTACGGAAGTAGGAAGAGAGTTCCAAAATCCGAGATTTGGTATGAAGAGAGTGGATAGAGAAACATAGAGTAAGGAGCTCCAGGATGTAGGGAGGATTTTTGGTTCTGAAGACTTGGAAAAGGAAAACACCAAGGAGGAATTGTCGTCGGGATGTAGGATAAACCACTTCAACTCGGTGTACCTGAATGAAACATGAGACCGCTTGTCGATACTGAAGCTGTATATTATGAAACAGTTCATAATTTTCAATCTGATATATAAGACAAAATGATAAAAAATAGTCGCGAGTTCGCCTCTCGGTGCCGGAAGAGCCTTTCAAATCCCCGCCCACACTCCCTGACCCGGAAAAATCTCGTATAGCCTTAAAGACGAGGAAGAGGGGGACCAAAAAAAAAAAATCAGGAGTTTCTTCAGTCTCATTTCTAGCCTGGTAGATAACCCTCCATACAGGGAGTCGAAGTGGGGGAATATAAGGGAGGTTACAGGGAGCCGTCTTGTTTTTAGAGGAATTGTTTAGGGACAGTTATGGATATTTGGGTAATCTGGGAGATATGGTTATTCCATGAGAGGACCTGGTCATAGGTTGCTGCTAGGTTTATGACTGTAAGCAAAAAATGGATAGAATGGTTATTGAGGCAATATCTGTGTCTTCTTGGTATAGATCACTAACGGATCCAGGATTTAATTTTGGGAGGGGGGGAGGGCTTCAGTTCGAATGATTTTTTTCTCTCTCTCTCTCTCTCTCTATATATATATATATATATATATATATATTACGGTAATTACTTCGGAAGAAAGAAATTAACTAACTACCTATATGAAATGGTGTTTCAGTGATTTTTTAAGTCCTATTAAATGTAATTAGAGGAACAATAATACTTTTAGAGATCATTTTTTTTCATATATCATAGTTATATTTTACCATTTTGGAGAACTTTAAACCGAAAGTCCCCCCCTCCCGAAGATCCACCTGTGTTGTAGATCGTTCCTCTTTGATCTAGCTCAGCTCGCTTCACAATAGCCAGTATGACAATATTAAATAAAAGAGGAACTAATTGGTTTTCTTTTCTCAGTCCATTCTTTACTTCAAATGGATCTGAAGTAACTCAGGGTTTTAACCCAGTATTCATGTATTCATTTATGTATTCATTCCGAACCATGGTCAGCCTGATGAGCTTATCTTGTATCCCCAATTATCCCATAGCCATAAATAAGACGTTACTGTTGCCACAATCATAAGCTGCTTCAAAATCCACAAAACAGCATCTTGGTGCGTTACTGATAATGTTTATTATTAACTCCTTACTCCATTGTAGATATTTTACTAATAAGTACAAGTAACTTTCTGATAATGACTTCGAGTACGTAAGTACCTAAATATAGTGTAACAGCAACCATATTTTAATCAGCGGTGAGTGAATTGTTACTGAAACTACTATGCATCGAATGTAAAGTATCGATACTTTACCTATATCGATCAATATAGAACATTCCTATTCCCTCTGTCGGTGGGCATAGTTACCACTGATAAATTGATAACACAATGTTTATCTCTCAATTCAAAAATACAATAATTATTAAATTGACAGTTTTACTAATTTTATACTGAACTACATTTTATCTTTCAATAAAATGTGTAGTTTATCTTATTTTTAATTAAGTAATAGTGGTATTTTAATAATCTTATTCAAATATAAAATAAAACATGGGTACCAGAAATTTCGAATGGAATTGGTAAGATCATTGAATCAAAAATAAATTAAGAAGTAGGAATATATTTTATTAAATAATTTTAAATTTCATTTTAGGAAATGCAAGTCCACTTTTGAACAGCCTCCGATACATGTTTACAAATTAGAACAAACTCTTAGTCATCCTCTCAAACAAATTAATACGACTGTAAGAAATTCATAAGTTTAATGGCATTATTTTTAATGTATGTTTATTATATTTTTTCTAATTTATTTTATATTTTGTCTAGTCAAAACTTGAAACAGTCAGTCATAATGAAAAGCTATCATTTATTGACCCATTGAGTGCAAACTTTGAAAATGCTGATCCTTTATCTCTTATGGCTGCCCAAGAAGTGAGTATTATTATAATTTTTTCCAGTTATTTCTCTAGTGACTTATGTTTGTGGTTATTATTTGTAGTTGTTCAACGCATTTTGATATTTTAAGATACTCAAGTGCTCCAATTATGTTCAAACTTTGGAATTCACCTTGGCATTATCTGCATGAACATTTCTCTCATTAAAGGTTCTTAAATCCTTCCCTATTTTAAGTGCTTGAAACCTTAAAAGTTAGATAACAATGTACAGATAGTGACTGTCAGGTTTTCTATAATTTTGTTTAAAAGTGGTTTGCAGCATTAATCATTTGTATTTTTTATCAATTTAATTATGTTTCATGACCAATAGGTATCTAGGGTCAATGATAACTAGAAAAAACGAAATCGAAGAGGAGATTAAGGTTAGGTTGAAGGCAGGAAAAGCTTATTATTTTTCTTTGTTAAAACTACTTAGTTTGTGCATCCTGTCCCAAAACTTAGAAATTAGAATTTATAAAACCATCATCCTTCTTATAGTTCTTTATGGATGCGAAACGTGGCCACTAACATTAAGGGATGAGCAACGTCTTAAGATTTTTGTAAATGAAGTATTGTGTTAAATATTCGGACCGAAGAAGGATGAGTCAACCAGAGAATTTTGACGGTTATACAATGCTGAATTGCGTTAACTGTATCCAGTTAATATAATTGAGATGATTAAGTTGAGGCAAATAAAATGGGCATGTAAAATCGCTGGGTTTGGTAAAAAAAAGAATTCCTAAAAAGTTAAAATGCGCTGTACTGACTGGCAAGCGTCCGAGGGATAGACCTAAGTGAAGATGGGAAAATTGCATTAAGGTTGATATAGTGGAGTTGAGTTCAGACAGTTCCCGGTGGATGGAAGAATGTGGAAATCGATTAGTGGAATCGGCATCTAACCTTTGGGTTCGCTAAGCCTTATTATTATTATTATTTATGACCCACATACTTTTAAAAGATAGTGGTTGTGTTCTTGATGTGATAAAAATTGTCTCTCTGGGTTATATTATTGTAGTTCTATCAATGATCATGTTTTAGGATTGGGATGACTTGGATCTCAATGTTGAACCTGTCAAAGCTCCGAAGAGGGGTCTTGAAATGAGTGACAACCCTTGGATAGAACAACGTACCGCTATATTGAATAAATTTACAACAACACAGAAACTTTCTATATCTTTACAACAACACCAGGAAAGAGGTAATGAATAGACATTGGTTATCCTTGTTTACTTTCCTACTGTTCCTAGGTACTTGTACAGGTGGCAGGGTCTGTTTCGATAAGTTGACCTTGCCCTTTTCTTCAACAGCTACTCAGAGGTTGCTCTCACCTACTAAGCAAGTGTTGGAATATTAAGAATTATTCCTTGGAAATACTGATAGATAAATATTAATTGAATCAGGTAGGCATTGGACTTATAATGTTCTGAACGGGGTACTTTAGTATTCTCACCCTTATGTATTTGCCCATCAGGTCTTCTGGTAGATAAGAAAAGTATTGTAATTAGGTCAAATTTTCAATATGCAATTTTCATCAGATTCTAATGTTCTTTCTGTTTATTTATACTATGATTATTTTTTTTGTCAGTAGCCTGATACTTTTTTTTTGTTTCATAAGATTTTAGCATCGATGCATATAACTTGAATTCAACAAATTATGCACAATAGTGGCTGAGCTGTATCCAAAAATTGTTTAGATGTAACAATTTTTGTTCATTAATATCATTAGCCTTTATAATGTACTGTTAACTAAAGTCTAATTCCTAAGAATATTGTTGTTATTGATTTAATTTTATAGGTTCCTCATCCAGAGACATAGCTTCAAACATTGGACTCAAAAATAAACTGGAGCAACTTGACGATTTTGAAGAATTAACCCTGCGCCAGTTGGAACAGTTATCACAGGCTGAATATGTCGAAACAGTAAACAGCTTCGGGAAAGTATTAGTTACTGCTTGGAATCATGACTTCAGAGTTAAAGCTCTCAAAGTAGCAATTCAGGTATTATTATTAATGTAGAAATTTTATTCTATTATGTTCAATAATAAACCTTTGTAATCGATCAAGAAACAAATAAAAAGTTAATTCTCTCTCAAAATCTGAGGTTTTATGTTGGAAGATATCCAAGAATCTTTTTTGATTAATTTTTATGGCTAGTTTAAAGGTTTTTAAATTAAATTCCCTTCAAAACAAAACAATCATCAAAATCAGAACACTATTAGCAAAATTTGTTAGTTTATTAATAATCCAAAAGCTATACTATCTCTGAGTACATGCCAGATGCTCATTTGAAAGATAATTTAATTTTCTCGAAATATAAGCATAAACAAAAAAATCTTAATTGGTGTAAGGTATAATTATTTTCAAGTTTATTTATTATCAGCCATTTTACACCAATTTTCAAAATTTTGTCAACTTAATGACTACACTTCTGATACCGACGTTTTGGCTCGTTGAGCCATTTTCAAGTCTAAAATAGCAATCATGTACCTTTCCATTTCAACTTATGTGTAATCAGATGTGTAGTCATTAAGTTGACAAAATTTTGAAAATTGGTGTAAAATGGCTGATAATAAATAAACTTGAAAATAAATAGTATGCACCGAAGAAGAATTGGAGAAATATTGTGGGTATAATTATTGTCAATTATGTTTATTATCAGTCTAAGGTATATTTATTGCCAGTTTTTGGTGGTATCAGTATCAAACCTTGAAGTTTACAGCATCAAACTTCTTGGATTAAAATCTCATTGGATATTTATAGTTTCTTCAATTTTTTAGTTTTGAATATACCTTGAAGATCTTAATATTAACTAGACAAAGTTTATATTTATGTTTTGCCAGAAAAAAAGGAATGATATTTATTGTTAGTATAGTAATAAACATATAGCAACATTATCTTTTTTTACATAAAAATGTTTGTTTACAGTGTGCTAAGCTCTTGGTTGACACCTCTGTTGTTCAGTTTTACCCTAGTAAATTTGTACTAATTACGGATGTACTGGATATGTTCGGTAATTTGGTTTATGAAAGACTTTTAGCGAAAGCAGAATACTATCCGTAAGATATTATTTTCTTACTTTATTATTCTTACATATTATGTAAGTGTCTTCAGTCTATGATTACTTGATTTTCAGAAGCGGAAGCAAGATAATGTCTCCTCTTCCAGAGAATTTCACACCAGATATGGTTCCGGAATCCGCCAAAGAAACATGTCGAAACTGGTTTTATAAAATTGCTTCCATTCGTGAATTAATACCTCGACTGTATGTCGAGGCTGCTGTCCTCAAATCATATACCTTCTTGACAAACAGGTTAGTTCATCCTAAATCATAATTCATCAGCAGATACTGCTCTTTTATTTAGTCAAATAATCTTGAAATATATAGCTAAAAGAATCAAATACACTAAAAACACCTTGATTACGTGTATTAAATTTCAAATTAATTAATATAATTTTTTATTGTTACAGTGAGCTTTCAGATTGTGTGAACAGATTGACTTTAATGACTCGTGGGATAGGAGATCCTTTGGTTGCGGTCTACACGAGGTGCTATCTCTGCCGAATCGGTCAGTCTGTATTCAAAGCTGGTCCAGAGCTTATCAGACAGAATCTTAAAGATTTTCTTCTTTTATATGAACAAGTAATAAAATTTTGAATAATCCCATCCTTCAAATTGAGCAATTAATTTGTTCCCCAAAAGTTGAGGGCTTGTGTTTTCCTTTTTGAAGGATTTTGTGATCCAGACCTCCATTTTTTAACTCTGTCACTTTTTCATTCTTAAATAAGATCTTACAGCATGTAACTTCGTAGTATCTTAGTTGATTCCATTTATCCATCTTGTCAATTATCGTGGCATTCATTGTTGCGTAGAGGTTTTGATAATGGATTGCTTCGTCCTACATGCCCTGGCCATCTTAACCTCTTTGCGTTCATGTCTTTATATATATATATATATATATATATATATATATATATACTGATCAGTTACTGCAAGCAGTTCTTTATTTTTCTAACTACTCAGCAAATGGGGAGCGGTGTAGCTCAGTGGTAGGGCACTGAGCTTCCAATGCAAAGGTCCCGAGTTCGAACCCCGGCTCATGGCAGAAAATTAATTTATCTGTTTCATTGGCCGTGGGGCGACCTTGGGTCAGGAGTCCCTCCTGGGGCACACCCAGCCTCTATAAAGTGGGTACCCTTAATTATATAATTAATTAGGGGAGAAAACCTGGCGGTTGAGCGTGATCTCGGTCAAATCACCTCCTTGCACAACCGTGGACCTAGAAACAGTGCTTTCCCTAAATAGTACTGAACCCCAGACCCTTTATGGGTTGTAGTGGTACAGGTTTTTTTTTTTTTTTTTTTAACTCACCAAATTATATGAATCATAAATCATATTATTAGGAATAAACTACAAATTTGTGGTGTACTTTTGAGTAAGGTAGTAAAAAAATTTATATATTATTTCTCAAAGATGTTTTTTTCTTCTCAGTACACCATATCTTCGTTAATTTTTCATCAAATCTCGTAATTGAGCCATCATTTTGAAGATTATCTTCTCCTTTAGGTGCAAAAGATAAGCACATCCTGCAGAAAAGTCTGGAAAAAAACAAGTTATGATGAAATGAAAAATAATTTACACTTAAAACAAAAAGTAAACAATTTAGAGTTGACTTTAAGAAAGATTTCTAAATTGTCCACAAAGCAAAAATTTTTTAGTAAAGATACAGCTAATTGTAATTTTAAAACGTATTTTTAAAATATCATTGTTATTAATCAAGGAAATCAAATTAATCATTTGTTTACTGACCAATATACTATGCAGATTATTAGCGTTACCTAACTATTTTTAATTATCCTATAACTAGTTTATTTTATAATTTCAGTTATTCAGTCCATCAGTACATCATCAGCTGTCGACTCAAAAAGTTGATTTAGCATCTTACCTCGGTACTTACGTCCCCGCATTAGATTGGATGTTCCAAGGAATAGCTAACAGCGATCGCCATGATTTCCTTGATGAACTATTTAAACTGTGCATGGAAAAAAGGAACAAGTAAGCAGCTTTAATGTTTTTCTAACATTAATTTATTTGATAAAATATTAACAATATATTTTTATGTCAACAGAGGTCTTCTTTTAAATTCTATTTTGTCTACATTTAAACCCGAATATATCGCCCAGAAAGCAGAAGTTTTAGTACAGCAAATATCATCTTGTTTTGGTGAAAGTAAGTTAATTATGGATTCTATTAATTGTTTCATGTTAATTTGTGTTGTTTACAAACTCATAATCATTTGTTTATAATTTATAAATGATGGTATCATGCAATCTCAGTTATCCAAACGTCAGTAGTCCGAACATTCCAATATTTTAAGTTGGCCAACTAAAAAAATTTTAAACTTAATTATAGTATATTTATGCTTAACACATATTCATAAGGTAATTTTTTAAAAACGCCATTCACAATATACTGTCATCTCTTTATCTCTGTTTGGTAAAAATTAGAATTTAATTTATTTAGTATTAAAAAAACAAGAATCAATTATTTTCTGTGGACAAATATGTGTTAAGGTGAAGGATTATATTTTTTTTTTTTTAACTCTTGAGATTAAAAAACATTTCATCACTTAAAAAACTTTATTTTAAATATGTTTCGACTGTCATGCCATCTTCAGGTGATTCTAGAATGGCCCAATTAAATTAATTTTTTTTTATCTGCTTTTTTTTTATCATATAAATAGCTATTATATCCCTTTATGACTACGTGATTATTGAGTTGTAATTTTTTTTTAGGTTTTCCACTTTATACCCTTCTAAAAATGATGGGAGAAAGGTTAAGAGGTCACACTACATCAAATTCTAATTATATAAAGCGGGAAATATGGAAACTTGTTTCAAAGCTTGAAAATGAGGGCGATTATCTCTCTTGTGTTCAAGCTTGGATACCATTCATTATTGCCCATTCCTCTGTAAGTGTAGATAATATATTTTATTTGTTTAATTAGATTTTTTTTTTTTTTTTGTTACTTTACAGATCTTTTACTGCCTAATCCAGCCTCCTCCATCTTTGACTATGTTAAGCTATTGGTTTCCAGTTTTCTGTATACAACTCTACAACACCTTTGTCGACTCAATCTATTCTTCTTTTTGACCTATTATTGAGGATTCATTGTTTTTCATAGGCTTCCTGATGCATTAGTTCATGCTGCATCCCCCGCCATCTTAACTACCTTGTCTTCATATCGTGAGATATTCATTAACTGTTCTTTCTGTAAGTAGGTTTTTATCGATCCTTCTCCTCCATGCATTATTACTCTGATTCTAGATCACTCTGGTTATCATATACGATACCAGAGGTATCCGGAACATATTAAGAATAACAAGTGAGTATCGTTTGAATAGGGTTGGATTCAGGAAACAGGTTAGACAAATGAGAGTCCTTGCAATGGACACAAAAGAAAGACTGGAGGGAAGAAGTGGTCAGAGGAGAGGAAGACACTATACTTTGAGAGGATGAGGGAGTGTGAAGGAGAAAAGAAAAGACTAACTGATGTTTGGGTGGTCCAAAAAAAAACTTATACTTTATTTAAAAAAGCAAGTGACAGAAAAAAATAATTTTTATCCAATAAAATTTAATTTAATTTTATCTTATATTTTAAAACATATCTTATATTGTTCCCGTATTTCTCACTACTATGCCGAGTTAGGGTGGCTCTTCCTCTCCTTCAGAAGACAATATTTTCTTGGCACATTCCTTTCCTATGTATACAATCTTCTCCAACTCAAATCATCTATCCACTCCATCTCAATAAGATCTCATCCATCTGACCTTTACACTCCTTTCCACAGATCTTGGTCCATCATTTCAACACTCCTTTATTGTCCTTTCCACCACTTTTTTAAATTCCATCCTGCTTTAAATCCACTATGCACCATCCTTGTCCATATTCAAAACCCTCTTATTTCAATTCATCTTGACAATCCCATCAGACACTGGTTAATTATGTATTATGTAAAAAGGATTATTTATGTTTGTTTTTTTTTCATACGTCATTATTTTATTTATTTATTTATTTTTTGTTTATTATTTATGAATTATAAAATATTCAGTATCACTTTTGACATAACACTGTGATGAAGAAAAAAATAGGAAATTATTTTATATATTTGAAATGTATTTCACTTTTTACATTCCTCAATTTGAATATATGTACATATTTTCCTATCTTATTATCCATCCATTTGTATATAGTTTACAATACCATTGAGAGTTTTTATTTTAAGTTTTTAACATCCAGTTTGTGTTTTAACATAAAAAGTCAATACTTTTAATATTTTTTTCTTTTCTGGAGGTTTTGCTTTTCTTTCTATATATGTAATTTTTATTTATTTTTTCTCAGTACAACTATAAGTATTGTTGAGAAGATTTTATTTTATTTTTTAGTAATTTACATAATATTATTTAAATTATTGTATATATTGTTTGAATCCGTATTAAGTTAGTTTTGGGCCAGATATGTATTTTTCTTTTGTGATTGTTCATTATTGTTATGCTAAGGAGACTTTGTCTCAGAATAAAGGTTATTTTCTATTAGCTATTAAAACATAAAAAAAATTAACAATAATTATTGCTTTCAGACTTCAGAATTAAACATCGTTCTTGGAGATATTATTGACCGGATCGGAAGTAGCACTAAATTTTCTTGTGCGATTCTTCAGGACATTGTCATTACTGTTGCATCAAACTTTCCTGATATGGACCAGCTTTTTACTATGGTAATATTTTGATTATCATTTCATGTTGACAGCTGTAAAATTCTTTTGTAAAAATTTAAATATAAATATTGAAAATAATATAGAAAGTAAGTTTATCCCATGGCTTTCGTAGAAGCTTCTCTTTTATAATTTTTACTGTCGAATATTCATGTATAGAAAATCTCTGTATATCAACTTTTTTTAGGAACCTTGAATTTTCATTTAAAAACATATTCTGTATATAATTGTGGATAGATAGTTGAATGTAGTGAATAATTGAAGAGAAGAATGGCTGTGGCGATCATTAAAAAAATAGTAAAAATAAATAATTATATTTAGTTTTTATTTTTGCCAACGTTTCAGTCCAAAGTTTAGGCCTTCATCAGGTCTAAGAAAAAAAACAGATAACAATAGGTATGAGAAACTATAAACATTGAATAATAAAGAATTAAAATTAAAAAGGTGAAAGTTATAGACTAAAAAATGTAGGTAGAATAAACTTAAAGTAAAATAAAGTAGATAGAGTGAACATTAAAGTAAAATAAAGTAGGTAGAATAATAACAGTAAAAGAGAACTAAGAAATAAATAATAATGGTAACAAAGTAGGGACTAATGAAATAAACATAATCAAAATAAGGTAACATAAGAAATGAAAAATGATTCAATAACGAAAAGTAGTAGAATTTTGGGGCAGGAGGCTTCAGCTCAAAAGTCCCTCTTCCCTATAGATCTGCCTGCGGTGATAGGTAATGTTATAATATTGTTTTCTAATTTACAGGATAAATTTCTTCCTCTATTAGATGTTATCAGAAGCGAATCATCGCGTGCAATGGCTTGCCAAAGGATTTTGGAGATTTTCTGTAAATCAAGAACAGCAGAGAGTACCGCAGATCCGGTAACAACTGATGCTCTTACCTTCATAGCTAAAGTTCTTCACGATTCTGTGAAGTAAGTCCTGTTTTTCACTTGTTTTATTTAAATGATTATATATGGAAAGTATATCCGATTGGAAAATGTAGCAGTAATCACAAAAAATATATTTTAAAAAAATTAATGAATATTATAAGATTTTCAGTTTTGACACATATAAGTCACTTTCTTTTCAACATTTGTTGCAGTTTATTATTGTTTCATTCCGCATCTACCCGAGCAGGTCATTACCGGCTTTAGATGGAATCAAATTAGGTGGACAAATTTAATGTCTTTTATAAATTCAAATACTTTTTGTATCTTTTCTTCGTCATCTGAAAGTGCATCCGATATGTTGGAAGGTATCTTATGTTTTGTTCTGGTTTCAGAGTATAGTCTGCAAGTTGTTACAATATGTTTCAGTGTAAGTGATGTGTTGCATGTTTTACAAAATGATGGTTCCAGGCCTCTCATTAGGTAGCCATGGGTAAAGTCCTGCATGTCCAGTTCTAAGCCGAGTTAAAATTATTTCTTCTTTTCTGTTCTTTCTGAAAGAGGTCGTCCATGTTTGGATATCTTTTTTAATTTCTTGCAATTTATTTGTAGATTGGTTCCACTTAAATTGCCAGTGTTCATTTAGCATTTTTTTGCATTCCAATCTCCAGTCAGCAGTGGTCGTTAAATTGATCATTGTAGTTACATTTGTTTTTCTTCTTGCGAGGTTCGCAGCTCTGTCTGCAGCTTCGTTTCCAGATATGCTATAATGTGAGGGTACCCATGCGAGGACGATGTCTCTGTCTGGCGACTCCTTCATTTCCCAGAGGCAGTTTTTGATTTTTCTGGAAATGGTATTGTCAGATTTCCCTTCGGCAATGGCCATTAATGAGTTTAAAGAGTCTGTAACTATAAGACCATTTTTTTTTTTTTTTTCTGTTAGTAGTAATAAGGCCTGATATATGGCGAATAGTTCACCTGTGAAGACGCTGTTTATTTGGAGCAAATTGAATTGGAGGCACTGGTCTTTCAGTATTACTCCGCATCCTACGTCACTATCTGTTTTTGACGTATCTGTATAAAGGGTTGTGTGTCCGAGGTATTTGTGTTTCATTTCATTTGTTGCAATTGACTTGTTTTAAAATTCTCCTTAAAAAGTATCTTTTTTCTTTTTACTTATTCTCTTTCTACTATTCTTCAAAGATTAAACTGAATCCTTTCTGAAATTTAAGTCAATTTCTATTTCCTCAATTAAATAAGTAAGATATTCTAAGAAAAAATTTCGTTTGGATTCTACTTACAATCAGTTTATATTTTAAGATCTTTTGAGTCCAAAAATTTTATTTTAATTTCTTATCACCCCTTGGTAATAAAACAAATTGCGCCATCAAAATATTTCAGTGGTCACATTTTTACATGGTTTCAAATTTTTGTGTTTAAATGTGGAAGAACGTGTAAATAATATGTTTAGAGTTAATTTTAAATAACCTTTTTGGCGGGAATTGTGAATATTCCTTCCGTTTTCATCGGGGAATTAGGTTTTTTACACTTGTGAATATTAAAACCAAACCCCAGCACTGAATATAGACTTTTTGAGGGTGTTTAACTGTCATTGGGAATTCGGGAACCTAATACCTTTTGTGACACTGAGTGAGAGAAACAATAAGAATATATATATAATGTGGGACTGAGTAAATACAGTTTGAATGAATTGACTCACCTGGTTTGTTATTCTTCAATTGTGAGGCCTATGGGACAACTAAATAAATAAATGACTTTTCACTCCTGTCTAACAAAACAATTTATTTTAACAACTGATAATAAATGAATATATTAAAGTCTTATAACTGTAGGCTTGATATTTTTAGTCTTCAGTGTAGTACCTCTCTCTTCTGACAACCTCGTTTCTTCCTGTCCAGGCCTAGAGTGTCTTCTCTTCTATCCAGCGTCCTTCTTCCTTCATGTCCCAGCCTCAAGTGCCTTCTTCTCTTCTTGGCGTCCTTCTCCAACTGCTGCTACCTGACTGGAACTTTTTCCTTCTTCATCGATTGTTTATCGATATGAGATTTTTCAATGAACAATTTGTCCACTGCACAATTGAGTACAATTCGCAGTGAAATCTCACATTTCTATATATTCCTTCTCATTCCCTCACACAATGTCCCATAAAGGAGTAAATACAGGGGAGTATCTACTACAAACCTTTAAAAATAATTTTAATAATAATTAGGAATAAAAATAATTAGGACCAGAATGTTTAAATTTTATATCATTGTCAGGTTAAGGAAACCAAGTATTTTTTTCATTCTTATATATTTTATTATTTATGTAAATTTGATATTCAAATCAGTGCATTTAAGCATTTGTTCTATTAAAAATATTGTATTTATATTAATATTTATTTTAATAGTACACATTTAGCTTAATTTAATATGATTGCCATAACAATTTAATATAATGTTTGTTTTAGTGCTCTATCCGTTGATGATGAAAAAAGACAATATGGGCAGTTAATATCACAACTTATTATGAAAATAGATTTTGGTGACTTTGAACAGCAGTTGAGATTTTATGTTGAAGCTAGGGCTACTTTTATGAATCTAGATGCTGTTATTGTTACTCTAGTTCATGTAAGTAATGTTTGTAACTGTTTAGTTTTAAAATTATAAGAATATTCTCCCTAATCTCAAGTGATGTCAGGTTACAAATAGATAACCACATATTCCTGTTTTTTTATATTGTATTCAGCTGATAACTATTTTTGGAATCAATATGTATTTTCATTATTAGCTTTATTATAAGACTTTATTACAACACTTTGAGGCCATATGTCGTTGTCTACTAAAATCTGTCACCATTCCTTTTTGTCATAGCATAGTTTGCTTCATTCAGTTGTTGGGTGTTGTGTCCTTTCCAGCAGTCCGAATAAATCGTGCTTTCCTCTTCTATATTATTTTTAATACATTCTAATAAAGTTCTTGCCTTTCCGTTCTTTATTTTTACGATGAAACACTCATCTGTTTCTCAACAAACATCCATTGTTCAGGGAGAACTCTCCCTACATGATTTTTTCGTTTAGAAAAAAGACTCTCGTCTACTTCAACCACTTTCCCATGCCCTCCAATTTTCTTTGTTGACTATCTTCCTCTCGGAGTCCTCTTGCTCCTATTGCCTCAGGTATACTTTCCATCCATCTCTTTTCTGGTCAACCTCTCTGTATCCAATCCCTTGTAACTTACTTAAGTATCATGTTAGACCATCTGTCGTCCATCATTCTCATAACATGATCAAATCAATTAATCTTTTTTCCCTCAATGGAGTACTGTATATTGAGGGTTTTTTTCATTTTGTCGTTGTTTGAAACATGTTGTAGTCTGGTCTAGATATTATTAGTTATAATTTAATGTTTTAGTCCTTATAAAATATAAAGAAAAGAAAAATATCATCCGAATCAGAGCAGTATTGACAGAAATATGATGTGAACTTTGTATACATTGGCATACAACCTTTGAGTTCACTGTGCCCTTTTAAATTTGTTATTTTAGATCATAATTGGGTTGATCCTTTGCTTATATACTTTTATTAATATAGCAATTGGTAAACTTTGTTAGAGACAATTTTTTTTTATTTTTAATATTGTAATGAAAACTGAGAACTAAAATTAATGAAGGAATATATTTTGCAGTTTATGTAAAATGATAAGCATGATTTTTTTATTTACCCCCTACCTTGCCATTTTTGGGATACAGGAGGGTTGTTCTAGAGATACAACTAAACCTTTTTTAACCAGAGTGGAAAGGTTGAGGTTCATTCATAAACACATCTTCATATTTAAACACCATAATTTAGGCCTCCCAATGTCATCTTATTTTTACATAGAGATATTTGACATTGGGAAACCCAACTTATGATGTTTACATGACAAGACTTCTTTGGTTTTTACTGAAACAAATGAAGAATAATGTTGACCTGTGGATTGTCAATGTGACACTAAATAAGACTTGATAGTGCTGTCAAATACGTCATCTTTAAAGTTATAAAATAAACAAAAACAATTGGTGATCAATGGCTTTGTACTTGAGAACACAGAAAAATCTCTTTCTTTTCTTTTATTAATATTTTTTTTTTTTTTGTAATAATTAGAGTATGGCTTTTAAATTTAATGTTTCAGTGTGTTAATCGTATTGCAGTTGAAACAGGAAAGAAAGTAAAAAGCCACCACACTAAGAGAACTGCTGCATTCGTACACGCGTGCGCTGCATTCTCGTACATTACCATTCCATCTGTCACGTCAGAAATCACTCGGCTACGGCTGTACCTTGTTACTGCTCAAATCGCTCTTTTCAATCAATCTCTTGGACAAGGTAATTTCACCAATAACTGTTCGTATGAAAAATAAATTAAATAATGCCAAACAAATAAATATACAAAATGATGAAAATTAAAGTAATATTTCATTCTAAATTATTTTTTTCAGCGGATGCTTGTATTGCCAGTGCTTTGGCTATCCTTCCACAGCTTCCTTTATCTGTTGAAATAGATGGAAAAATGTGTCAGATACAACCTTATCTATCAGAGTTTGTTAAAAATTTGCTCTCTACGCTCATTATTGTCCCTGTAAGTACTAAATATTTATTTCATAGCAATGATTTGTTCAAATTTACATTGAATCAATTTACTTAAGCATTATTAGTTTTATTAATTATTAATTAATTATCATTTATCTATAAATTGGTACCTGCACGGTATAAAGAAAATATTATTGGTTTATTGCAAAAAGTCATTAAGTGACATTTCCTAAAATTAAATCATTAAGAACTTTGACGAATTTTTCCTCATTCTCTTATTTTAATTATATTTGATATATAAAAAGGTTTGTGTCATTTTAGTGCACTTACTGTATTTTTTATCGATAAATAAGGTTGAAATTCATCAAAAATATACTTAGTGACTTTTTGCAATAAATCGACATATATGACTGAGATTGCACTTTTAAAATAATAAGATAAGCATAATATCTAGCGACTGTGGTGAGAACTGGGTTTGTGGCTCTGAGTCCACCATACCATGAAATCTATGACTACCAACCCTCTCCCACATCTACTTAAATACATTCATACATTCATTAAAATACAATAAAGTATTTTTTAAACTGAATATTTTTATTCAGAGATGACTGTGTCTCCACTGTCTGTGAAGTAGCACCGTCCCATCACTTTTCTTTAACATTTAAACGACAGTGGTCTTTCATAGAGTCAAGATAGAATTGGGTCCAGGCGACGGTGAACTCATATGGGAGTTGCTAGCCTGTCGGGCTCTTTCTCATTAAACAACAGGGTGCTTAGTGTTCAATTCTACTTTTAAACCGTCTCGAGGTCTTCCCATGAAGTAATAGGTAATTTCTTTGTGACTGGAGATTATGGATGTTTTTGAACAATACCTTAAATAAAAACACATAAGTGGTCAGTAGGGAGTGATGAAAAGTATTCAGTCCTATAATTTTACATTATATATTAACATGGGTGATAAATATTCAGGACACAGTCTTTTTAATTTTTTTTTTTTTAAATTTTTTATTTATGCCACCATTTCAACCCAAACATGTGGGTCATCTTCAGGGCTTGGTTTGAGCACTGATGGTGTTCAAGTATTGAAAGAAACATTGGCATAAATAAAAAATTTGGTACTTTTTGTCTAGCAGGCCAGACTGAAACCTCACTTCTTATATATCTTATGTAATGTCAGGTCATATAACCTCCCTCTTTTTATCCAGCCAAACCTTTGAGTTATTGCATTGTTTAGTTTTCAGTTATTCCGTTATTATGTTCACTTATTAAATTCTTTACTTTTGGCCCGTTTGTGTTAATTTTTCATTATTTTTAGTTTTTGGCCCCTTTTTGTTTATTTTTCATTTTTTTTCCCGTTTATTTTCGTCATATTATGGATCTTCTTAGAATATGGGATTTGCCGCCTTCAGAAGTACAGGCAATTCAATATTTTCAAAATGTTGGAGTACTTGCCGACGTGAAATTGTGTGAACGAGGTCATTGAATGAAGTTAACCAGGAAGGCCAAATGGAGATGCTTTCGTAGGACTTATGACACAAAACTTTCAATAAGGAAAGGAACATGGTTGGAGGGCTTGAGGATTTCGTTTTTAACAGCTTTAAAATTGATTTATGGGTGGTCCCATAGCTTGACAACGATGAAGTGGGGCAAAGAGCAGCTGAAACTATCTTACAGAGCTATGGTAATGTTGAACAAATGTCTAAGAGAGGTTTGTGCCCATGACATGTTATACAGGCCAAGCAAAAACATTGGAGGACCTGGCAAAGTGGTTGAAGTAGACGAAAGTCTTTTTTCTAAACGAAAAAATCATGTGGGGAGAGTTTTACCTCAGCAGTGGATGTTTGGTGGAGTTTGTCGAGAAACAGATGAATGTTTTATCTTTTTATAAAACAGATTTTATGTTTTATATTTTTTCTTTTCTATATAAATATGTTCTTTTAAATGTGTTTTTTATTATTTCATTTTAATGTTTTATATGTACATATCTTCTTAAAGTGTTTTTTTATTATTTCATTAATATATGTGTCATCAAATAAAAGTATTTTTTTTGTTATTACATTTGTTTTTGTATCTGTTTACACTTTCAATAATACAAATTTAATACAAATTTAATACAAATTTAATATAATAATACAAATATATGAAGTAGGAGAAGGCTTATCACTGCGTTATGGGAGTTATCAGTGTTCAGGTTATAAACATTGGCAGATAGCAGTCAGTAGCGGCCCCCTAGACAAAAAGTACCAAAATTTAAAATAAAAAAAAAAATGACCGCTTCCTGAATATTTATCACCCATGATATGTAGAACAGTCGACCAACTTCCTTCAATAATTCATTATACATTAACACAATCGAAACTGTAAAAAATTGGAATATTTCTACGAGTCTTAATTTACATCAAGGAATTTTTGTGCTCGATATACAGCTGAACTATATATTAAGATCATATTTATGGTATTGATCAGACAAAAAGCGTTAGAACTTAATGTTAAACTTATAACTTAATCATGAATACTCTATCCCACTTAATTTTTTTTTCTTGGAATTACAGACCTTGTAGATCTTTTGCCACCTTAACAAGTCTACTCCATCTCTGCCTATCTTTTATTATTTCTTTCCAGTTATTTTGATGCAGCTCTATTGCATCTATGTTGATTTGATCTATCCAACTGCTTTTTGTTCTTTGGCCTACTGTTGAGGCATTCGTTGGTAGCGGCTTCCAGATGGATTGCTCTGAGCTATATGCCCCGCCCATCTTAAACTCCATTTCATATCATACGATATTGATCCCAAGTCTCACAGCCATTTATTGGAACTGGCTTTATCATTGCATTGTACCACCTTAATTTGAAATTTTGTAGGATTTCAATACCTTTGAAAGGGATAAGAAATTTTATTTGTTATATAAATTAAGCCATTATTCACCATTTTATTTATTAGCTATTTTATTACGATGTTTCGACCATCACCAAGGCCATTTTCAAGTATGGAAAATTGTAATGTCATTATTAGTTAACATTTACAAAAATCTTTTTCTTTTTTTTTTCACATAACTAACTTATCTAACGATCTGTGTCATAACATTTTCAATACACATAGATTTGTATACTTTTTCTTATAAAAACCTTTCATGTACGTAACTTTACTCATTATAAACAATTGATTATTACCTTATTGAGTCCTCCATTAGATATTCATTATTAATGTTGTATTGATTTGTCCTGCTATTTAAGAATTTCTCCTATGTCATTTCTGGAGGGACTGACTTATATCGTCCTGGTGAGGATATTCAAGGGGAGAGGGGTTTTTCTTCTATTGTTTTCCAATGGTAGATTATTTTATCTAATTTATGATTTTTATATTGCTTTTAAATTAATTATTATATTATATACGAATATTGTTAATTACATTTGCGTAAAAGTTATTTATACTGTCCACATCTGTATGGTTGTTAACGGAACTCTTTAAATTTTTAGTGATATATATTGACTCTATAATTTTTCTTTTTTTATTACTATTTTCCTTATATATTATTTTGGCATTTTAAAAATCAAATTGGTGTTTGTTGTATGTAGCGTGTTGTGAAAGGTCAGTTGATGTGTTAGATTTGGACTTACAATTTTGTTCATGTTGTTTTATTCTTTTTGCGAACCATTGTCCCGTTTGTCCTATATATATATATATATATATATATATATATATATATATATATATATATATATATATATATATAGGTTTGTCCTATAAATGATTTATTAGTGCAATTTTTACAATTTATTTTATAAATAACGTTATTTTTCATGTCACGCGGTATATTATCTTTAGTATTAGTATACAATTTTTCAATTTTATTTACTGGCTTTTTACCTATTTTAATTTTCAATAGATCATATTCCCTGAAAGTCTTTTGAATTTTACTAATTAGATCTTTAATATAAGTTATTGAATATTTAATGTTACATTATTCAAATTTATTTTAAAATTGTATGGCACTAGGTAACTTTTGAGATTGTTTTTCGAGGTTATTAGATATTTCAGAATTATTATTTTTGAAGTAATTTGTGATTAAATTTGGTTTTTTGTTTACATTTTTACTTAGGTAGTTATTTTTGTTATGATTTGTTTTCTGCTGTTTGTTATCATTATTATTATCACTCCGTTTTATTTTTTGGTTTTTGTACCATATTTTATTTATAATTCTTTTAGGGTACCAAGTATCCAGTAATAAATTATATATTTCAGTTCTTATTTTATTGCTATGTATTTTATCCTTTTATTATTTTATATGATATTGATCCCAAGTCTCACAGCCATATATTAGAACTGGCTTTATCGTTGCATTGTACACCCTTAATTTGAGATTTTGTAGGATTTCAATACCTTTGAAAGGGAAAAGAAAGCTCTGTTTACGCTTCTTATACGCTGGTCTATTTCAGACTGTTGGTCATTCATTGTGTTTATTATGAAGCCGAGGTACTTGAACTTAATTAATTACAGATATTTTTAGTTAGATAAATAGATTTTATATTTACTTAAATTATTCTCAAAGTAAGTTATTTTAAATCCTTATCATGATTGCATGTTACAGGACTGCTTTGAGCAAGGAATGCTCTACTTGACAAGAGGCCTGGTGAACATGTTACAGCAGTGTGTAGAGATCACAGGGATCGCTGCGATCACACGGCTCTATCTTGATGTAATCAGAATGCTATCTGTGGCCGCTCGTCCAGAATATCCGTACCATGTCCGGAAAGGTGAGAATTGTTAATTTTCATAACCATTTCTTACTGTTGCTAAATGGTTATGTTATTAGTTACATCATACTAATTATTAAACTTATAAATTATGCCAAATATACTGAGGGTGTCACAGGATTTTTGTAAAAGGAAAATGGTTCCAAGTATAAACATATTCAAATATCTCAGCTCTACGATAACCTCAATGAATTGCCAATAGAAATAGACCACGGAATGAAATAATAGTTTTTCTAGAAAATTGATGTTGATGAGAAGCAAATAAAGGTGGTCACTATATCTGTTAAAAACTATATTATAATAGTTTCTTGAATCACCATATCTGTTTATAAATGATATCCAGTTAGTCTTGTAATACCCTTATACAAAAACTTCTTTTTTGCAGTTGACTCAAACGATATATTGTATGGATCTGATCCAAAATTTTTGACAGAAATCAATAGTATGTCTAGCATTCTTCTGGAAGAAATATTGAATAATCTACAGACTTTAGGAGAACAGAAAGATTTAGAAGAACAGGTATATTTTGAATTAATACATGTAGAAGTATATTAAACTCAATGATACAAGATATTATTTTAAAATTATAATGTGATATATTCATTTATAGGCAGCAATTTCTTTCGAATTATTTCAATACGTTATTGAAATCGTCAATTTGGAATCAGAAGGAATGGCTACTCTTGCTTATCAGCTTTGGTTGTTATCTCACAAACACAAATGTCTTGATAAGAAAATGGCGGTATGTGTATATTTTGATTTGTTTTATTTTAATGTAAACGTACACAATTAAACAATTATTATTATTGTTTTACAGATGAGGTTGCTTGATTCGTTAAAATTGAAACTTCCGATGTACCCTGCAAATAGTGCTTTTAGTCTTCTTGTTTCTAAGTTAAAAATATAAAAAGTTTAAGTTGTATAAATATGTATATATTTTTTTAATATTATTAAATTTTATATTTATATTATTATATAAACAAACTAAAATTTATTATATTTTTGTTTTTATGTATCTCTGTAAGATTTATATTCCAAAATCAGCTTTCTTGTTCCCTATCAAATCCATCTGAAAATGATCTTTGTTGATTATGAACACATTAATTTATTTGTAAATATAGCAAATCATAAAAAAGGTGATACTTGCCAACAAACATAATACTAATCTAGGAGTGCTTAATGTTTTAAACTTTTCGATAACTTCATAATGTCCATATCCATAATATATGTCCAGGTCTGGCAAGATTAGATGGTAGCTGAAACATGCATCCTAGTAAAAAGTAATAATGCAAATAACTTCAGAGCCTAATAGAACAATAGCCATCCTGCTCCTCTATCATTATCAGACAAATTGTTTACCTTAAAGCCTTTTATTAATTACATATATATATATTTCTTATTTTTAGAAGGGGAGAGAAAAGAGACAATAACTTTTCTTATTGAATTTTCGAGCTCAGATGTTTTTTGGGACCATATTTAATGCAGGAAAACCATAAAATCAATATGATATTCATGTATCATTAATCACAATAGAATTCTTAGGCCCCTTTCGCACTGAAGATGCCAGACGCAGGATGCTTCCATCTTAAACACTGGACTGTATAATAGAGTGAGAGCTTTCACAGCGAAGATGCAAGTGCGTCTTGCAGCCTGGATGCAAGACACAGGTACATCTTTGGAACCAGCCGGCTGGAGATTTTTAGCATGCATCTTTGTTATGCTGGTCTTGCATACTCACCCCTTCCACCTTGGCCCGCCCGAAGAAAAATATTTTTGAGGATAAATCATAGAGTCCGGTCGGCTTACACTGCCAACGCTCAGTCTACCCTCTCCCTTCTCAATTTTCTCTAAGCTCTTGTGATCGATGTCTCTATCAATTGATTTATTATTTTCAACTTTTTTTTTTATCTATTATTTAATTTTTTTTAAGCTATAGTTTTTTTTTTATCAATTGCTCTGATTTTCAATTATTTATCCATATGTTCTTACCTATTTTTCTTGTTATTACCATGGAAGATTTGAAATTTTATGCCAAAATTGCATTTAGTAATCGTTTTCTATTGAAATAACGAGTGAATGTCATGAAATGGTGTGACCTAGAATTTCTTTTCTTTTCTGTTCTAATGATGCCTGAATTGGTGAATCGTTGACGGCTTATTTTATTCTTTACCTGCATTTTAAAGACACAAAGCTGTGAGATTGGAGTTTTGTATAGATTTGTGGAGATTTGTATTATTATAAGGTAATATTTATTCTCCTCCCCAAGATGTGGTATTGATACTTTTAATAAAAAATACTGTACAAAATATTCTTAAGTAATGTTTTCCGTTTTGAGCAGCATTCACATGTTTAAAAAATGAGTTATACTATTCATAGGAATATATAGTTATTTACCTCAGAAATACGACCAGTCTTTCTTTCGCAGATACACACAACTGAAAATTTGTATCCCGACGACTCAGTGACAGTTCCATGAGATCCCTCCCATTAACGATTTCTTCTTTGTATTCGTCTTCTTCTTAATATACAAGCCAGAATTATAATTTCATTGCCTGAAGAGTCTGATGATAAACTTTGGACTACATGCAAAAAGCATGGTTGGATAAAATGGTTTAAAGATGGCTTATCCGCCAAAACGTAGCTATGAAAATTAAAATAATTATGGTGAAAAAATAAAAAGAGTCTTATTTTATAATTTCTTCTTTGTCTTTGTCTTCTTCTTACTATACAAACCAGAATTATAATTTCATTGCCTGAAGAGTCTGATGATTGATTATTCATCTTTTAAATTAACAGAGATAATGGATATAAATAGAGGATACAAGAGGCACAAGCATCCTTGGTGTGAAAGCTATTTCATCAAGATGCGCATGCATCCTGCATCCAGGATGCATGCATCTTCAGTGTGAAAGGGGCCTTAAAGATATTTTAGAGTCAAGTTTCTTAATCAAAGCTTTGAACTAGAAACTGTAGTTAAATACATTGATTTTCAACCACAAGGGGAGATCTCTGAAGACTTGTAAACTTGACAATGTAAACTCTTTTACTGTGGTTAACATATTTTTGCACTGAGTCATGGAAGTAAACCTTATCTTGCAACTTGACTTTGAGTGTTGTCATGGTTCTTTGCTGTTTCTTATTTGTATTAAAAAATTGAAGAATGAATTACAATTTCCACTAATTCAACTCTTATAAGATGTCCCATAAATAATAGGAAATATTTATATTCTTCTTTATTGTTGAGCTGTTAATTTATATTTAATGATAGTAATCTCATGTAGCAGGTGTTTACCTAAGAAATGTAATGTTGTATTGAGATGGTCTGTCTTTTAGCACTTCAATTTTAAAATTTGACCTTGAGGTCTTTTCAATATCGTTACAATTAAAAGAATATAACTATGGTAAATGTATCAGTAATAGACATTTTTCAACTCAACAGATAATAAGCCTAAAATAGAGTGTAAATATAAGTAGATTTGCTGTATTTTTTATTTAGAAATATAATAATCTGTCACATGGATAATAATTATAGTGAGATATGAACACATTCACACCATATATACAGAAAACATAAAATTAACAAAGTAAAATAATAACTAAATAATAATGGAACAACTATGTACAATAAAAAATAAAATAACCTAAAGATAAGTAAATTAAAAACTCAGTCATACCTATATACAATCAGGTAGGGAACTCCAAGCCAGGCTTGTCCCTCCAACTATAGAGGGAAAAGCAGGACTCCTAGAGATCTCTGCGCTACTCTCTCAACCGTGTTACTGGTGCTTAAGCCAGTGGAGATATGCTGTTAAAACACTTAGGAGGGTGACGCCTGAACCTCAAGTGTTTAATGCCACAATAGCCAATTGGCAGTTGATTTTTTAATGGAGCAAGGCTCGGTGTTCATTTCAGGGAATTTTCTTCAGGAGATAAGTTTGAAATTTTTATAATTCATTTATAGTTTGCTATTTCTTAGTTTAAAACAGTGCATACTTTTTTTTTTTAACTATATAAAAAACTATTGATCCCAAAATCTAGGTGTCCATTACTGGTGCAAAATACACTGTCAGAATTTTTTATAGTTTTTCATGATTAATAATAAACTAAATGACTACAGAAAAAATAAAATTTATAAAAGACTAAGTTTGCTGTCAATTAAACCCATTTGCAAAGCTCCACCGTCAGAACTAAAACCGTGGTTCACATTAATGTTGAAAATGTCTCATAAAGTTTCTATTACCTACACATTTACCTTAAACACCGATTCACATGGACAATAACAACAGAAAATTGGTGGAATACACAACATGTTTTAAAGAATAGTATATTTCCTGAACACAAGGAGCACTGCAATAGTTAGATCGAAAATTTTTAACATGGTTCAATTAATACCACAACCAAACAAAACCCTACCATATGATTGTTTCTCAATCAAAGCAATATCATAAAAAAAAAATGGTCAAGAAACGTAACCGTGTGTAGGGGCCTTTATTAAAGTATTTTAAGGACCTTTCTTATGATAGAAATATTTGATTTTTTTTGTAAATTAAACCATTGCAGACAGGATACATGCCTTCCCGGTAAGAGTTGTGTCACTGGTGCAGACGGGATATACACTGACAGGCAAAAGATTCCACCCACTTGATTTTTTCATGTTTTCATCTAAAAATATTTCTGCTTTGGATTGGTCTATTGTTTTTAATGAATAAATAGGTAATCTTTTTGTTTGTTTTCAATTAGAAATGTTAATATAGAGGACAATAATCCTTAATTCAATGAAATGATTCTAGATTCCAATGTTTACTTTCTATGGAATCAAAATGTTTATTCAGTATCATTAGTTCAGTGCCGTTTCTTGCAGCACACTTCTTAGTCTCTGGCTTTTAATTTTTTCAATATTAAGTTTAAAAATGCCTCTTAGTGCTGAGGATGTTGCGCGTGGTGTGTCATTTATTGATGATGGACGTTCCATTAGAATGCAGCTAATGCCATCGGAGTTCCATATGAAACTTTACAAGACGCCGTCAGGCATTTTTGGGAAACTGATTCTTACAATAGAAGGCCCGGTTCTGGACGGCCTAGGGTAACAGAACCACGGGATGACTGGTTTTTGACTTTGAGAATTTTACGAAACCAGCACCTTATCGTTGTTCAAGCAATTCATCAGCTCGAAGAAGTTCGAGATGTTCAAATTTCTGAACGTACCGCTCGGAGAAGATTAAATGAGTATGGATTAATGGCTTTTCGTCCAGTAAGAGGACCAGAGTTGACCAGAACTCACAGAGTAACACGGTTGGCTTTTGCTCGAGAACACAGCCATTGGACTATGGACGAATGGAGAGCTGAACTTTTTACAGATGAGTCAAGATTCGCTCTTCGATCTCCAGACAGGCGTGCGGTGAAGAAGAAACGAAAGATATGCAGCCTGTAATTTTTCCCAGAGCCAACCTTTCCAACGTGGTTCCTTAATGCTAACAAGTGGGTGGAATTTTGTACCTGTCAGTGTATATACCTTCCCGGTAGTGAGTTGGGTCACTGGTGTGGCCGGGATATATGCCTTCCTGCCTCGGCAGTTGTCACTTAAACAGGTAGGGGACAAGTCCCGCACTCACCATTTGACGTGTGGCTTAGTTGGTGCATTCATTAGTCTACTGTAGCTTGCTCAGTACGGTCGCTCCGGATTCTGACTATTTGGAAACTATCAGTTACAGATTTATTCTGAACCCAAGGTGTGTATGCAGTCAAAGGGTTAAAGTGCAGTTGATATTAAATAAAATAGATAGAAATCAAATTGAATTATATTATTGGAGTTTATGAATAGCTACTCTTTTAGGTTGAATACCTTCTGAAAATTCTTAATTTCTAGAAATAACAAGGTTAAATTATGATATGATGTACTATAAATGACCTGGGTTTGTGTAATATATAACAGCCTAAAATGAAGTCCTTACTATTTTTATTTTATCATAAATACTTTTTTTAACTTATTTACATTATATAAACGTATCAACATTTTTCTGTACACTTCAAAATCTTCTTATATCAACAGTTTCTCAGATCAAGACAACTATTTAGTCAATTAATTAAAAACACTTCATCACAGAAAAATCCACAAAATTCTTGCAATAATAATGAAGACAACGACCCATATACAATGGCTCAATATCGATGAGGTTCTTCCATTATTGCATTCATCAGAGTTTTTAAGCACTGCGTTAGATTGAATAGTCTTGTAATTGTCATCAATTAGTCGTCCAATCATACAATATTTCAATGCTTCCGTTATTTCAACTCGAACAACTTTTCCCATAATTTCTGGTTTCCCTGGGACTAAAATCTGTGAAAAAAATAAAATAAATTTATACTTATTTACTTATATTAAGATAATATTCTGCATTGAAATTATTAAATATAATAATGTGAGGTTGTAATTGGACAGCATTAACCAAAAGAGGACAATCCACCAAATAAACAAAAATGGATTAATAATGAATGACAATAGTGTTTACTAGTTATCATAATAATAATATATCTCAACACAAACAAAATAAAAAACAATTTCTTAAAAATTATAATATTATGTTCAGCATTTTATTCTTTTTGTAATTAGTTATTATTTAAAATTGTATCATGAGGTGATCCCGTGTTAGAGAAGAAAAAAGAAAAAAAGGAACTGCCAAAAAGCAAATAAAGAGTTTTTTTTAACGTTTAGATTAAAATATCTCTCAGAAACTAAAAATTGGACCTGCATACTGCAAGAGAAATGCCCTTCATCCTCTTTGTAATGATCTATAATTCAAAATTGTATTTTAAAGTGACGCCAAGTTATAGTGTCGGGAAGGGAAAAAGATGGCGACAAAAATCTCTCAAAATTAAAATTTTTTTTTAGCTATGAAAAATATGGAATACAAAATTAATGTTCATCACATATTTTAGTTATCATAAACCTATTGTTTCATTTTTAAAGTATGATACAAATGCAGAGCAAAGTTCACAAGCATAATTTATACACAATTATGATTGTATATATTATAAATGTTATTATTGAAGGATGTTGATCGACTGTTCTACATATCATGGGTGATAAATATTCAGAATGCAGTCATTATAAAGTTTTTATTGGTGCCGACGTTTCAACCCAAACATTTGGGTCATCATCAAGGCGTGTTTCGAGCACTGAAGGTATTCAAGTACTAACAGAAGGTATTCAGTGCTCAAAACAGGCCCTGATGATGACCCAAATGTTTGGGTTGAAACATCGGCACCAATAAAAATTTTATAATGACTGGGTCCTGAATATTTATCACCCATGCAAATGTTTTTTTTTTTGTGAGTATAGAAAAAAAAATAGTAATTATTCATATTTCAAATTATTAATCCTGCCTTGTTGTTTTCACTTTTATTGTGCGATCCAAAGCACACATAATTTTTTTTTCTGTTCTAATACATATGTAATAGAAAAAATAGTTTACTTGGATCAGTTCCGATAATCACCGAATCAACCAAAGAGATTGAGAAAGTTCACGTATACAAAATTATTTATAAACAGGTATAATGAATGTATGATAATGATTTGTTGTCCACAAATTTCATTATAAATTCACAATTGTAACATTATATAGATGGTTTGGAACAATGAAACATCATAAAAGACATTTAATAAAATTGAATTAATAATGGAATAAGAATTTTATATTACTTGTTGGTATCGTTTGTTATGTGCAACGTATTGAACTTTATCATGAGCTATTTCAGTGACGAGAACGGAGTGAATGGTTCCAACGGTACCAGTATAAGGTTCATAGGACAGGTGAAAATCTGTAAGTCTCCTTGTTCGCTCTTTAACCTAGGTCAAAAAGAAAAATATATTATTTTTAAGTATGGAAGAATTTTACAAATAAACAATGGTTAGATAAACATTTAAGTTAACTTGAGAAGGAGTTGATCGGGGAGGGGAGGTTAATTTTTTTTTTTCTTATAGAGTTATTTATACTTAATAATCTATCCTAACGATATTTCACTAATGTTATCCTATTAATCTATCAATTTCTTTACTTCTTAACCTTTAGTCCCGTTATCTGTTTACCTACAATCAAATGTAACCTCCACTAGCTTGTTATCCACTGATATCTTATTGTTATCTTATTCTTATTTTAGCTTTACTATAATCTAATACTTATTCAATTTTTAATCTATTTATTCGTTAACATTCATTTTCTTTATCTGTTAAGCTACAGTTAACCTACAGTTATCAAATGTAACTAATTTCTCTATTAGTTTGTTATACACTCATTCCTTATTTTTTATCGCAATCTGTTTACTTTTAACTTACATGCTATATTCTCCTTTATTTTCCATTTTTATTCATACTTATTTTTCATTTTTGTTTGTATCTTCTACACATATAATACTTTATATTTTAACTACATTATCACCCACTATATCTCTGATATCATCTTTTTATTTCTGTATCAGACAACTTCTTATTATTATATATCTACTTATATTCATTTATTTTATTTTCACCATGTTTTGTATCTTTTATAGCCCTGATGAAGACCTGCATAGTGGGTCGAAATGTTGGCAAAAATTAAATAATACTATTTGTTTAATTTAGTATTTATTTGACCGTACCCCCGATCAACTCCTTCTCATATTATATCAACAGTCAACCATCTCTACATCATTATTTAAATTAACTGTTGATTTTACATTCAATTTTATTCAATGAGTAAATATTAAGGAAATAAACATTGTAATGATTCAGTCTTGAGATGAAATATATAGATGACTAAAATATTAGGGTTTCTCATAAGTATCTTTTTTTTTTCTTTTTTTTTTTTAAGATTTCTTCCTTCCCTCAGGAAGCCTCTTATTCCCTTTTTACAAAATTTTCGAGACTTACTTGCAAAATATTCATCAGGTGCTTTCAAATTTGAGACATTTAACACGGAGAGAATTTCTTAACGAATGGAACAAGTAATAATCAGATCTAACTCATCCTTCCTACTCCCCAGACCTTGCTCCCCATTCAATTATTAATTGTTCCTTTTGTAAAGAAAATATGTTCATGATAAATATCAAATTAGAAATGTAAATAAAAACGCACCTCGATGAATATTTTGCAAGTCTCAATAATTTTGAAAAAATGAAATGAGAAGTTCCCATAGTGATGGAAGAAGGTAATAGAGCAGAACGGTTCATATATAGCACAGTAAATCAACCTTCAACAAAAAATAAAAAAAAAAATAGAAACTTATGGAACACCCTAATGCAGTCTATATGAATATCATTTAAAAAAAGAAAAGAAAAGAATTCAGTATAATAACCAGTTTAGGATGAATTCTAGGCATAGCAGCAGCAGGCGTACCCGGGCGGGGGAAGAACTGATTAATATAGACGGAAGGAAACTTGTACTTAGCAATTAATGACATCGTTTCTTCAAAGTCTTGTTCAGTCTCCGTCGGGAATCCACAGATAATATCTGTTGCTATAGTTACTCCTCCCACAACACTACAATAAAAAAATAAAAATCATTTAAAATGTTTAATGGTTTGTTCAAATAAAATTAAATTTTATTTCTTGTTAAAACCAAGAAGAGAAAAAATAAATTATCATCAATATCTTTAAGTAAATGAATGGAAGAATTTCAAAACTTATTCTATTTTTACTGAATTGTTGACTAATCACCAATATTTTATTTTGTTTTGTATTCAAAATAAGATATTCTCTTTTCATTAGTCATTAGTCACAGAGAAATAGTAAAAGAATAAAATAATATAATAAAAATGGACAAAGAACTATTATTTAATTTAATTTTAGAAATTAAACAACTCCTTACTTGGAAGACAAATAGTCCACTACTTTTTCGAAATCACTCCTTGTATATTCTCTTTTCATTTCACCGAGAACGCTATCGGAACCTGATTGTACAGGAACATGGAGGAAGCTGTATACACGGTCATGTGATAAAACTTCAGCCATCTCCTGCGTAAGGAGAACAAATTTATTAGTTTGTCTCAAAATTACAGTTAATATATACTAATCAGCATAAAAAATAAAATTATTAAAAAATGTTTATAAGGTATATTTGGACTAAATGATGTATCACCTAAGCTTCATCCTTATGAAAATTACCATAGTATAAAAAGAAGAAAAAAATTTTCCATTCTATTATTATTCATAAAAAAATTAACCGTATTAACCTCTAAGTGATCCAATATGTAAGGAGGGTTCGTCATTCCTACACGGAGCATTGCTCCCTCTGGTATCACTTTTACTAGTTCTTTCAAAAGAGCTGGAAGTGAAGAACCAATGTCCTTTCCGTAAGCCCCAGTATCTTCTGAAGTCAGCCACAATTCCACCACTCCTTCAGAAAAAGCTTCAACAGCTCGAGCAATAATTTCCCCTTTAAAAAAAAAAGTATTAAAATACATTATAATAATTAATCTGCATATTAATAATAAACTTCATCATGTCACTATGCCATGAATTCTAGATTAGAAAGTATCACAATTTAATGAAAATACATTTTTTTTATAGGAATTTCTTTAATGTAAAGATATCCTTAAACGAATTCTGTCTCAGCTGACCCCTCCACATCTGCCGGCCCTCGCTGTCCTCTTCCGACAGTCCTCTATCAGTCATATTCTCCATTTTCTATCCTTCCATCTTACTGAGGGTCTTCCTCTCCTTCCTCTACCTTCTTCCTCTCAATCCATTATCAGCTTTTGTATGTTGTTATCATTCATCTTTTTTTTTTCTCTCCTTCCTCATCTTTTGGCTATACAGGGTTTTTCCTAGGCCAGGAAAGAGGACGGGGAATTAATGCCAGAGTTAAAAGCCCCTTAGCACCAGGATTCGAACTTATGATCTCCGGTTTAAAGGTCTGAAGACATTGCATATTTGGCACACATGTTATCCTGCTTATCCCCCTGGCCATACCCTCTTCCAAATTATGTTTTACTACCAATTTTCCTATTTTGAAGATGTGTTTGTTAATTAGTTTGACGCTACAACATGCGTCCAGGCCTCCTCAACCAGCAACCTCCAGAAGTTTCTGTCCTGTGCTGCTGCCATCCAGTTGTGGACTCCCAAACTCCTCGCATCCGCAGCCACACAGTCAATCCATCGAAGTTGGGGGTGGCCAACTCTTCTCTGGCCATGAAGTATCTCCGTCAGTAATCTTATAGGAGTTTCCTGTTCCTCCATCCTGACCACATGTCCAGCCCATCTTAGACGATATTGTTTGATAAGACTAACATCAGGCTCACCAAAGAGGTTGTAGACCTCTTAATTTGTTCTTCCTCTCCACTCTTCACCAACTAATACTGGTCCAAATAACTTTCGGAGGATCTTTCGCTCACATGCGGCCAACTTCTGATACTTTTCTTTTTCCATTTTCCATATTTCCGCTCCATATGTAAGGACTGGGCAAATCAGTTTTTTACAGAGATATTTATGTTTTTCTGGTCATTAACCTGCATGACAGATGGTGCCTCAATCCAAAGTAACATCTGTTCACGGCTTCTTTTGATCTCTGATTCTATGGCAATATCGCATGTGACCTGTGAGCCTAGCTACACAAATTCAGAAACCCACTTGAAGAGACAATTTCGAAATCCCACCTTTTTCTCATGATGTCTTCAAATAGCGATCATATACTTGATTTCTTGTTGCTTCCATAAGAGAGAGGAATGGCTCTTCGACTGACGTTTTTGAGCATCCAATTATATCGATGTCGTCGGCGTATGCTAGGAGCTGCATGGTTATATTTATAATAGTTCCTGTTATAAAATAAAATAAGATAATAAAAAAAAATGCACAACTAATTTGGATTATTTAAAAAAAGTATAGGAAGTAAAAACAAATTGCAACCTGGTGGATAACTGCCAAGTTCCCCTCTCGCATGTTTTGTCTTGCAATATGTACACTGGTTAAGACAGCCTGTGTTGATAGGAATTATTTCAATAAGAGGATTCCTTCTAACCTTGGGTAAAGACAGGGGAGCTCCACCAAGTTTCTTCCCGCCAGATTTCTTTGTTCCAAAAAGTCTTACACTATTACCTAAATAAAAATAATATAAATAATTATATCTCTGAACTTTGGAATAAAAAAAGTTGATCTGAGCAAATAAAAATTCACTTTCTCAAATAACAATGAAATTTCATGATTATATATTTTTTTTTACTTTTTAAATAGCTACACACTCCTATAAAATTAAATATCATGTATAACAACTCACCATTAAGAGTTTGCTCAACAACTTCAACCACCCTGTCGATTTGTTGCACTCCGATAATGCTCAAGCCCTTAAGGAAGGTAGATTTCGGTGCACCTTGAGGAACACAACCAGAAACGACAACATATTTACCAAGCTTTTTAGCAGCTTCTATTTCGTTTCTGAAAATATAATCAATTTTAATTTTAAATAAAATTAATCTGAATAAAAATAAGATCTCAATACAAAAAAAAAAAAAAAAAAAAAATGCAATTTAGCATAACATACAAATTAATATAAACATTTCATAGTTATATTATAGACAATACTATTTTTGGTTATTTTAAACATCTCTCTTTAGTGTAAAAATACATCTATTTTTATTTACTTTAAAATAACTTTATACAGTGTACTAAGAGATATGTATATTTTTTCATCTTATCAATTAATAATTTCATTGACATTTATTAACAATAAACAAAGGAGTCCTTATTAGTTATCTTATAAGCTGCCATCACTGACTTCAGTAAAACTTTGAAGTATCATTCCAATATGGAGGTTTGGTCAAGATCACATCGATCAAACAGCAAATGAACTGAAAGTGGCCAAGTAATCACAAACGACATTCATGTGAGTAACCTTGCTTTAGTTAGAATGTGCTTTCGACTTATAACCGCTCAGGACGAATAAGCAATGCCCTAATGGATCATTTGCTCTAGAAATCAGGGCCTTAAGTAGTGTATAGGTCACCTACATCTACTTCTAGGGATACTCGGTATTTTATTATGTTTTGAATAGCATCTGCAGTTTAATCGATATGATCTTGGCCAAGCCACTCAGTTGGAGTGTCACTAGTGAATAAATACGCTGATTTACTACAAATTAAAATATTGATGCAGGTCATCCAACATTTTCTTTTTTCTAAAATACTATTTTAGTAATATAACTAGTTTCATAGCTTTCAAATACTAACAACTGAAATAAGTTAATTAGCTATATAAACCTGAAATGGTCTTCTGCAGGACTTTTTACAGTACAACTATTGAGTAACCAAAGATCTGCTTCTAATTTATCACCTAAAAGCATCAATTTAATAACAAAAGATCCATTTTAAAATATAGACTAGTGATATATATTTTTTAAAAGAAATGTAACATACTAGTCAAAGTGTAGCCATAAGTTGACAACAAGCCTGCCATGTATTCTCCATCAGAATTATTATGTGTACAACCCCAAGTTTTAATAAAGATCTTTTGAGTACCTGGTACTATACTCTTTGGAACACTCTGGTCATTTGTTTCAGGAACATCCTCTATTACTTGTTTTTTTACTGATTTTAGTCTCTTGACTCTAACAGTCACCCCTTTTCTAGAGCTTTTACGCGGATCTAGTTCTTGAGATTCAATCAAGTCTTCAATATCATCAATTATCTCACTACATGCACCAGGCATCTTAATTTAAATATATGTGTACTTTTATATATCAAGAAGCTACACAATAAATAGGTCAAGTCGGGTGTTGCTTATACTAGAATAAATTTAATTACACTATTCATCGAATCCATTCAGAAACAGCTCTTAAAGATTACCTATCAGTTAAATTTGATAAAGCATACAGCGAGCACGCGATCTTAACCTTTTAGAAAAAGGTAATACAAGGAGGTATAAACAAACCAAAAAAGATAATAGAAAAGATGTATCTCATTTCAAATATCAAACTTCACTACAATGCTCTCCCTTAAGAATGGCGTTGAATTTCACCTTTCGATTTGATCCTTCCGTCAAAATCGGTTAAAAGGGGCTGACGTTTGTGTAGATGCAGTAACTCGTGTCAGTAGCAAAATTTCCTGTCTTGTTAAGTTTCTTACAATTCATATACACACTGCCGGCTGGTTCTTTGGCAAAGAGCATAGGTAATTTTCCGTCATTTATTGAAACTGGAGATATTTTGATCGGGAAGCTGCATAGTGTAGTGGAAATCATTTCTGCTGTTCACTTATGATTTTACCAGCGTCATCTTTCCTTAGGTCTTTACAGCTACTAATTCTGGTTTTTCGTTAGCCACCTTGGCCTTTCTAATAATGTTTTTTATTGAAAACTGAGGTCAACTGCTTCTGATTTAATGAAACAAGTCATATTATTAAAACATCCTCCAATAGAAAATACCCTTTTCATCACTGTCTTCTGTTGTTGAACACACAGCCAGAACTACAGGGGATGGAAGAAATCGTACTTGTAGGTTCCATAAAAGACTTTTTTTATTATTATTGTTTTGTCCTTAATCTAATAAACATACAATAAAAGAATCCATGCTATGATATGATCATATTTATTATGAAGTAGACTCTCCATAGAGGTTTTTTATAGATAAAATTTTTTTTGTCTAAAAAGCTCGAGTTGGTTGGAGCGCATGCGCTATTGATAAGTGATATCGCTCTATTTACAAACCGCCAGAGTGACTCTAGAACTGAAGGAGTTGACAACTTGTTGAATGTATTAACTACTTAGTGTTTTTATATATATATATTTTTTACATTAACAAAATGGTCTTGTCCAAGTTACCAGTTCCAGTTATCAATGTCGTGGGAAAATATTTGATGGAACTTTACAACAATCCTATCAGGACTAAAGCCATTACCAGGTATTTGTTTTTCAAAAATAAAATTAATTTATATTTAATTTTTTTATCATGAAGATTAATTATTACCAGTTGGCCTGTGTGGATAGTTCTTACAATTTATTATTCATAGTATGGTAGTATAATGTGGAAATAAATAAATGCTTAGCAAGAAATGGTATTTTATTTGAAAAAGATATAGTAAATATATGTCTCTATTAAAATTTTACCATTATATATATCATGTTTAATTGTAAACCATTCAAACACCAGATATTGACTTTCTCAAATTGTTCAATAATAATGGCCAACTTATTTTTTTTTTTTAAGAAGCCAAGGTAAGCATGACTTAGCGCTTTAAATTATTCTTTGTATAGTATTTGTAATTTAAATTAGTTTTCTAAACAATTACCTGTTATAGCTGTGAATTAGTTTTTATAAAATTATTTATACAAAATCTTCAACTTAAACTATTGTCCTATAATCGATCAATTATTCCTTGGTGATTAATAAAACTTTTATTTGTTTATTTATTTATTTTTGTATTATATACAAAGCTGTTTATAATTTTCCTTCTGGCATAATTTTTACTGTGTATATATATTCTAAACATTTTTTGTTTTTGGTAAATTAATTAAAAGCATACAAAAATTGAGGCGTCTGAATTTTTATAAAATCAGATAATATGTACTAAAAATTTAATTTCTGAAAATATTTTAATATTTAAAACAAATCAAAATGTTAAAAAGAATGTCTATCTTTATTTTCTCCCTAATTACTATATAATCACAATGTTTAACTTGTTTTATTTTAAGACATTAAAGATTAAGTTTGGTTCTCATATTTTAATATCTAAAAATTATCTTTCAAAAAATAATATAATTACAGATACAGTTAATTTGTGAACATTATTGATTAATTCGTACTTTTTCACTTATAAAAACTCTGTAATATTCCGAACTAGGAGAGATTCCTAGTTCATGAGGTTGTTGGAAAAAACGTTTTTTTTTTTTAAATTCATTTTTATGAATTTCGAAGAGAATAGACCATATTTACCAATAAGGTACTTTCCTCCATGAGTAGTAAGCTGCCATCCCTATCAAATTTAAACAAAATTTAAAATGAAAAAGCAATAAATAAATGTAAAATTTGTGGCTATGACCAATTTCAGTTGTTTGAACATTTTAGAAAAAAAAAAGCACACTAATAATGAAAAAAATAATAATCTAACATCAATTTAATTTAGAAAAATGACCCTTTTGATGTTTTGTTAGATATGTCCTTGATTCTCATTATATCTGAAAGTTGTGACTTTTTTTTTTTCATTTAGTGCTGGTCATTTTAGAATAAGTGATTTTTCATGGTCATTTTAAAATAATTTTTTTACTTCCAACTTGGATATTGAACTGTACAATTCTATGTTACTAAAAGTCCTTAATGGCACTATTCTATGTTCATTTGAAAACGTTTTTGATTGTTTTTTTAAGCATGAAAATTAAGTGGAGGAAGGAATTAAAGAAGATAATTGCTTTAATTGTTTCACTGTTGTACATTGAATATATGAAATAATATTGATCGCAATCCTCATTCTGAAATTGGTTTGCTATACCAATATCCCTGAAACTAACTTAGAATTATTTCTCTTATGATTTTATATCGAAATTTTTCTGGATAAATAACTTTTGAACTGATTAAAACGTCATTATTAAAATTATCAGGCAATTTGATTATTGAACAAGATTAGTTAGTTTTGTTAGAATTTTAAAAATATTTTTGTTATCTAATGATTAGCGAGGATTATTTTTCCACCTGATGCTGATGCGCACTTAGCTGTAGATTAGATATGACTACTTAAGAGGAAGTATTTTGATCGTTGTCATCTTTGATGGATGTCTTTTTTATATTTATTATTCAATTAAATATTTATTTTGTGTAAAACAACAGAATGTTTACCTCTAATAAAGAAAAAAATAGCCAAGTTATCTAAAATAAAACAAATATGAATTAATTCTTGTATTATCTTAGTTTATTACTTCCTTGTTTTATTCAATAAAAAAAATTCCTAATGTGGTTTTAGCTTGAATAGTGATTATAATCTATTATTCCACATGGCTTTATATTGTAATTGAAAATTTTTGCTCTTTCACTGGCATGGAATTATATTATTTTCCACATTGAATAAGCAATAACACTTATAAATAAAGTGTTGCTTTATAAGTACATTATGAAAATTCCAAGGAGAGACCTATCTGATTAAATTTGAATATATAGTTTTGATAAGGAAATAAATTTTTTTTTTATAAAACTGAATATTTCGATAATTTATGAACTCAGGCTATGAATTATGTATTGAGAAACAGTATCTTATAGAGGGCCTCCTTTAAATTAAGGAAAATAACTTTTTTTAAGTAAGTTGTCTTTTATGTTGAATTAAGTGTTTGTTAAATAACTAAAAAAATAGTTAATGTAGGTACTTATTTAGTGTAGCATCGTAGACTAATCTAATGTTTCATCAAAAACAGAGTTTGTTTCTGCTAAAATAATTAAAGGAAGCACTAAAGCAATTAAATTATACAAAGTTCTGGTTTTCATAAAATGAGGCATTATTTCTGATTTTTTTTTAATCAATCAATTGAGTATTCAAGACTTATAGAAAACTTCACTGTTTAATTAGCTTTATTTCTATATTAATTAATTATAATAATTCCATATTAATTAAGTCCGGGTTTGTCTACTCATTATGAAATAAGTTGAGATTCTCCTCCAGTTTTGTAAAAAAAAAATAATGTTTTCACTAAATATAATTACATTGAATTATTACATTATTATTTTTAAAAAAAATTTCTGTAATAATAATTGTCTATTAACAAACAAACCTACTTTCAATAGAAGTACATAAGTATTTCTATGTGCAGATGAGTGAAAGTAAAACTTACACAAGGTATAACATATTAATAAAAAAAAAAAATTACCACATAGTATATTTGTGATTAATTTTATTGGGTCCATTCTATAATCAGCTGACAGATGAACATGAGTTCATTGTCGATAAATCGTTTAATTATATGTAAAAAAAGTATATGACATGTACTTTATAAACAAATAAATGCTTCTATTTATCTATAATCAACTAATGATGGCATGACAACCGAATAATCTTGAAAATAAAAAAAAAATTTATGTGGTGATGTTACTTTTCTAATCTCAATAATCAATAATTAATCACAGTTTATTTTGAGATTATCTTATTTGCTTAGTTTATGCATTTTTCCTCATTCACCATACCTTCTATGACCTTAAATTTTGTAATATTGTTCCCTTTTTCTGTAAGAAATTCAACCAATGTCAATTTTCAATCCACAACTTTTACTTACAACACTACTTTGGGTAGAAATGCATAGATATAGCTATTTATAGGCGAGTTAAAGTAAAAATTATATAATTTAAAACATATTTTTATTAAAAAAATTAATTATCAATGTTATTCTGACTTGTCTCATTGTTCACTTTATGCATCTTCCCTCAATCTCCATTAGTAACAGATCCAGGATTTAATTTTCAGGGGACTTCATTCTGAAAGCTTTCTTGTTACACACACACAAACACACACACACACACACACATATATATATATATATATATATATATATATATATATATTAATATATATATATATATATATTATATATATATAATATATATATATATACACATACTTTTCCCTATGAGGTAATCCCACGTATGGATCGTTTATTTGATTCGCCTTCATGCTCCATGCCTTAAAGGCATACTACTTGAAATTGCAATTGTTTACATGATTAAGATGGAACCTAATGAAACTAACTAGCTATATGAAATAGTTATATTTCAGAGAATATTTTTTTCTGAACAAGCAATATTTACCAGAAAAGGAATATTTAATTTCAGAATTAGCCCTAATCTGGCAAATGAAAATTCTCATATCACAGAACAATGAGGACATTAATACGAATTTTAGATAATAAATTATTATTATTTAAAATTTTTGAAAAAATTATACCCACCAATTGCTTGAATTATTTCTTTCGGGAAATAATTTCGGGAATTTGTTAACCGTAATGTTTGATTTTTTTACATTTAAATACAATGTGAAATGTATTATTTTAATTCCAGGCAAAACAGCTGTTCTAAAAGATATTTAAAAACAGCTGTTCTAAAAGAGATTTTAAAAAACAGATGTTACTTAAGTATTAGTGTTAGTTAGAAAGAATTGTGTTCTTAAAAAACTCTGCTTTGTAAAATTTGAAAAATATAAGTTTGTGTTCGTTTTTGTTTGAAAGTGCACTCAATCACTACTTTATTTACTAGTTCCCATTGTTGTTCATTTTGTATTACGAAAAAATTTCCATAGGAATGTAAAAATTAGGATTAGATTATAGGCATATTTAGTTACTAAAAGACTAGTTGGCCTGTGGGAATAATTCGCATAGAGTATTGATCAGTGAACAATTGGCTATATGATATAGAAATAATTTTTTAAAATATATTATGGGATATAGGAAACAATTTTCTTTTTCTCAGTTGAATCACTTTAGTTCATTCATAATAACTAAAACATGTGTACAATACTATTGGCTGCTAATAACGGATTTTGATAATTTTATTTTTTTGTTTTCTTTGTGATCAACAAAAAATGTTTATACTTTTGAGTTATTTGCAAATAAAGTTTCTTTCCCTTCATAACTTTTCCCCTGAAATTTTGAGGGAATACGATTACGATATATCACTTCTCCATGAAATTCCCTTTCATTTAGTACCTCATTCATCAAAATCCATCATGCTTGACAGCCGGAAAAGGGAAATGCCACCGTATTATATATAAAGACAGATTTTTAAATTTTTTTTTTATTTCTGTTGTCATTACAGACCTTCTAGATCTTTTGTCGCCTTAACATGCCTGCTCCATCTCTGCCTGTCTTGGGCTATTTCTTTCCATTTATCTGCACGCAGTTCTGTTGATTCTATTTATCCATCTGCTTTTTGGCCGTCCATGTAGTCTTTTGTCTTCTATTGGGGCATTCATCGTTATGTGGAGGCTTTCAGATGGATTGCTACAAGCTTCATGCCCTGGCCATCTTAACCTCCATGCCTTCATATCATGGGATATTGATTGACCAGTTTCTGTAAGCAGCTCTTTATTGGTCTTTCTTCTTCATGTACTCTGATCCCAGATCGCTCTGGTTATCATGCAAAAGATTTTACTCTCAAATCTTTCAACACTTTTTTCTAGGGTGCTGGTTTGTGTCCAGGTCTCACAGCCATATATTACAACTGGCTTTATCATAGCATTGTACACCCTTAGTTTGAGATTTTTCGAGATTCAATTTCAATTTCAATAGGGAGAAGAAAGCTCTGTTTGAGCTAGTTATGCATTGGTCTACTTCTGCCCATTGGTCAATCATTGGGGTTATTGTGGATCCAAGGTATTTGAATTTTTCTATTATTGGGAATGATTTTCCATCTATGCAGATCTTGTTATTTGGGTGGACTTTTCGACTTATTATCATAAAGATAGATTAATACCCATAATTGAGATCTGTATAATAAGCACTGATGCTCTTCAATTTTCAATGATTTTAAAATAAACATTGTGCTGAGATTATTATTATTATCAGATTATTATTATCACTTCTCCTGTATCAACATTTTTTAGGAATGCGGACTAAATAAAATATTTTTCTATTTCAGTTCCGTCATTTCAGCACTTGGTAACTACACATCTCAGGCAATTACAGGATGTGAAATTAATCAAAGGAGTATAGGAGCTTTTGCATTATTTGGGTAAATAATTATAAATTAATCTATAGCCGATCTTGATTGTTTTTTTTTTTGGATATTACCTAATCTATCTTATTCTTTTGCAGTTTATTGTTTGGCGGAACAATCCCACACTACTTTTACATCATATTAGAACAAGCTTTTCCTGGTCCGAGTAAACTGACTGGACTTTTAAAATTTATGGTTGAAAGATTCATTTATGCACCTCTATACCAGATGTTTTCTCTCTATGTACTCGCTAGGTTTGAGGTAAAAATATATCAACAGTAATTTATTTTTTATTGTATTAAATTTTAAAAATATTATAATCAAGGATTAATGATTTAAGGGCAAGAGTCATGAAAGTGCATATAAACAGACCGCTAAGCTGTATTGGACTGTACTGCAGGCTAATTGGCAGTATTTATCCTGGATTCAGCTAATCAATATTATTCTCGTTCCTTCCATGGTAAGTATTATTATCTTTAGTGTAATTATGTTAAAAAATATAATTTTTTTGTTCCTACTCTGGGTTCAAGAGACCCTCTTAGGGCTCACCCATCCTCTATAAAGTGAATATCTAACACCCATCTTGTGTAACTATTGGTCGAAAAACAATACTTTCATAAACATCTCATACTTTTAGAAACACTAATAAAATATTATATCATCAACAAAATTTAATAGCATAGGACCCCTTCAAATATAGTATCAGTTGCTACTACTATGTTATATCTCATAAATTATATATCACGTCATATTTTTATTTTATATTTACAGTTCCGAGTGTTGGTAATGAACATGGTAGGTTTCTTTTGGAATATTTACCTTGCAAGTAAAAGAAGAGCAGAAAGTAAATCTTACTGAAAGGTAAAGATCTGTAAATATCAAACTTTTTATATGTATATATATTTGTAGATTTATGATTGCTAAAAGTAAATTAGAAGTCAATAAATTTTTATTTTTATTGTTATGTATTATCTGTTCTTTTCCTTCAAACATATTTTCTGGAATAAAAAAAATTAAGTCATTATTGTTATGAAATTTATGATTTGTTTTAACATGATTTTTTTGATGGGCAAAACTGTTAAAACGCCCATCACCTTTTCCCACTTGCATATACCATTGTATTTTTATATGTAAATTATTGATACATATGTACATACTAGATTATTTTTAATTGAATAATATGTCATAAATGTAAATCATTTAAACAATATAATTATAATAACAGTCAATATAGTTTAATATTAATAATAACAACAATATTCGGTTAAAGGCAGTATATTTTTATTTTAATGACACCCTTAAATTAATTCTACAAGTTATTTAAGCATTTTTTTTATTATTACTTATAGTTTTACTAATATGTTTGACCACTGTAATATGCAATATAAACTTGTAGATTAAATATTTCTGTCTAACATTTTGTATAAGTGTATTTACTCAAATTAATCACAAGTATTGGTAGCAGTACTGTCGTATTAGGACAGTGAAAAAGGTTAAATTTCAATGACAGACGTATAATCGCTGCCACCAGGGTGAAGAGGTAAACTCTTCCCAATCCTAATGTGAGGATAATTCAGAAGAATACACTTTGACTAAAATGATCTTTATTTATGTGATTGAAACTTGTCTAGTTAAATCTATTCTAAATTTCCTCTTGCTTGATATAACTGCTAAAGGTCATGTCCAAAGAGCTGAATCTCACAGAGGACCCTTAGTCTTGTATTGTATCAAAGTTAAAGTTAAAAGAGTTATTGATTGAACAATAAATATTGGGTAGGGAACATATCGCTAGTTTATATGTTGATATTTATTTTTTATCTATGACAATATGCTTCATTCAATGTTTAGACGATTTTATTCATCATTTTGTGTTTGTTTTATTTTTTGAAATTATATTAGTTATTTCATTTAACTAATATAATTTTAATATTTATTGATGTCAAATTTACCAAACCATCATCCTTTGCCATTATTATTCAAACAGAGCAGTTATCTCAGCAATAGGCCTGTTCTTGGTCTCGGGTACGAAAAACCATACCACAATTACAGTTATGATTTGACATACGAGAAATATGGAAAATACAGCGGGGCCCATCAGTATCTGTAACAATTATTTTTGTTATATTACATTTGAAAAAATTATATAATTTATCTATTTATAATAATCATGATACTTATTGGTGATGAAGAAGGCAAACAATAGGCAAGGTTGATAAGTGTGAATAAATAGAATGTCATGGCATCGAGTTACTTAATAGTAATCACTTATAATAGGTATAGTCAGAAACTGAAACACATAGAATTTTGATATGTTTCATTAGAGTCATGAGAAGCGCACAAAATATTGGATAATTTTAAAATTTCTGAACAAACAATATTTTGGTGAATTCACTTCTTAGTCATCAGTATATCGGGTTGATACAAAAATAATGCATAGCTTTGAAACCAGGGCCTTAGTGTAAATTAATAAAGTGTTGGCTTCTCTAAGTAAAATAAACTTTGCCATTCCAGAGTCGGTCACTTATTTAATAAATGTTAGGCCAATCAATTGAGGATCGATACTGAGATTTCTTTTGTAAAAATCCATCTCCTTTTCTTCAGTGTCTATCTATCGGAAAAGATATCTACACTACATATAATAGATTCTAATAAACCAGTTGGATAAGCACTATATCGTTGAAGTAATGATAGTCATTTGTACTTTGTAGCCAATTGTCTGACTTCAGGATATTGCCAATTTCGAGAGGTGTTCCCTTGAACACAAATTTTGATGCTCTACAACTTTTATTCTATAACATTTCTGAGGTTTTTGACATTTTGGTAAAAGTCATTGTTTCGATCACACCACTTAACCAAATTATTAAGTTTTGGTTCTCATTCGACAAAAAGGTTACTCATCAAGAAGTAAATTTTCCCTTTAAGTGTAGCAGTGAAGCGGCTCTATCCATCCAACCGCCGTCTGTACTTCCTTGCTACCTTTCTATACCATGCCATCAGAACTCAGTGACCTTCCTATATTTTTCACAGCCTACAATTTAAATATTCCATTTAATCTCGTCCCACTAGATCCCGTACTTCCGACCTCTATCCACCTCCTCACCGAACTGCTGCGTTTGACAAATCCTTTATAATTCAAGTCGTCTTCTGGAATACCATCCCTCTCGATAAATCTCCTATTTAAGCACTAATCCTTTCCAATCGATTGATCACAAATCTAGATGACTTTTTAAGTTCCCCCAAAAATGATTTTGTTCACTTGTGTTATTTTATTTTCCCATGTTTGTTTTATATATATATATATATATATATCGGTAAGTTTTTAGTATTTTTTGTTTTTCTCTTCTTCCATTGTATTCTTCCAATGAGATTTGTAAATATATAATTTAATGCATTGCCACACATGCATTTCTTCTGTAACTATAATTTGTCCTAAAGGGACAACAGTCCCAGAATAATAAAAACATATTTTCATTTTATTCAGGAGTTAAAAAATTATATTTTTGGGTGACAATGGCCTGAGATGGCTCTTGTTAACATTTTTGTTATGTAAATGTTTGCAACCATATATTTTATTTATTATTATTTAAACAAGAATATAAGTTCAGCAGGTTTGAAAAATTGCCATCTGCAAAGTTTTTGCAACATTACATTACATATATGTACAAATATATACATATTGTACATATTTGTAGGGCACATTACATATTAAGTAAGAAAATCTCTGGGCTACCGCATCAAAAGTCGTCTAGATGGGATGTGTGGGTTCGTGATTTAGTTTAATATTCTTTTCCTACATTTTGTGCAACATAATCTCTCTTTTGATCCTCAACTGTTTATTCCAATATTTTTTAAATCAGTGGCTTTGGAATGTCAGAGGATGTTAATATTACTTCAAATAATATACACTTTAAGAAGTTGCTATTCAAAACTTTTCTTAAAATGAGTATCATTTTTAGGCCTTGCCTTCAGGACTAGCACCTTTCCATTTTTGAGACTTATTAAATCAATTGAACAAATTAAAATCCTTAATACTGTTTCCGTCTATGTATGTTAGTATTGAACCTTATTCTATATCCTCTCATCCTAAATTCAAATAATATAATTATTTTATTTAGTCATAGCTTACGAAAAGAAAATTTCAAAAAGAGATATTTGTCAAATTGTAAATTATAAATATCATCAATAATATATCAATAAAACGAGAGGGTCGGTCCATGCGCCTACTGAAGAGAAGGATGCTTTTTATGAGGCATCATGCAGGGATTGTGATAGTATTCCTAGCATACGATGCAGTAATTATACTCAGATATTTATTAGATGCCCAAAAAGGTAAGGTAGACTATTCAAGAGGAGAAACAGGAATTTTAAGTCTATTTGATAAAGCAAACAAAAATGGGTTTCATCTTGCGCAGTTTGCAGTATCGATGAAATAAATAATACAAAGCACTTCATATATGTATATATATATAACTATAATTCATATTATAATATATAAAGGTTATAATAAGTTATAATATTATAACATAAGTTATAATATATAAAGGTTGAATTATAAAAAATCCCATTGTAACATATATATATATATATATCTTAAGTTATAATATATAAAGGTTGAATTATAAAAAAAAACCATTGTAACATATATATATATATATATATATATATATATATGTATATAAAAAACCTGTAATACTGCAACCCATGGAGAGTCTTGGGTTCAGTACTACTTAGGGAAAGCACTGTTTCTAGGTCAACGGTTGTGCAAGGAGGTGATTTGACCGACATCATGCTCAACCGCCAGGTTTTCCCCCTTAATTAATTATTTAATTAAGGGTACCCACTTTATAGAGGCTGGGTGTGCCCCAGGAGGGTCGTCCCACGGCCAATGAAACAAATAAATAAATTTTCTGTCATGAGCCGGGGTTCGAACCTGGGACCTTTAGCATTGAAAGCTCAGTGCCCTACCACTGACCTACCCCACTCCCCTTTATATGTATTTATATATATATATATATATATACATATGTCTATAAAATGATAATTACTTTGGAAAAAAGAAAGATACTACTCTCTGTTTTTGGCAATAATAACTTCCAATTAACAATAATTGATTTATTTGTTGTTTTTTCAAGTTTACATGTTTACGTTTCGAGAAAATTTATTCCCATCTTCAATACTACAATCCCATGTTTCTTTGTCAATTCATGTTTTAAGTCTTAATGTGCTCCATTGTCAGGTTCTAAATTCATGTTTTAACAAATTATAGTATTTAATATCCGGAGCATCATCATGCCTTTAGATTAATTATTGGTCTAAAGGCATGATGATGCTCTTTTTTAGGTATCAACTACAATTAGCAACCTTCCGTATCATACCTGTAACGGCCTAAATGCAATGCCGACGACAAAGTTAAAAATCCAGTTAGTCGGTACTGCGAAACTGCAGGCGAGTGGCCTAGCTGAGGTGTTGAAGAGTTCAGGCCCCAGCAACCATGGGATGGAACCAGCGCCGATGGCGAAGAAGAAAACGTATGCATAGACCATTAATATAGCCAATATCCTGGCGATATCGTTCTCTTCCTGAAAGCAGAAAAAAAAGTTTCAAGTTGTAATTAACCATTATAGATGAAAAAAAACAACAAAAGACTTATCTTATTTTGTACTTTCATTATCCTACTACGTCCTGTCCTAACCTTTGATAATATTCCGCTTATCTCTGCTGAATAGATCCATTATCTAGCAACTCATCTGAATTAGCGACTAACTCCAAATCCTCATAAAAGACTGAAACAAAAAGAAACTCCTCATAGTTTCCGTCTTACTTTGAAATTTACTAGACCATCTTATAATTTCAATCTC